AGATGACTGTTGCTCAATAATTCACACACTTCAACACTCACCCGTTTTTCACAGAAAGAAATAAAGAGTGTAAACAGTTCATGTTACAAAACCTCATGTTTTATTTTCAGTGACGTTTGATGAGTCAGTTATTGAGAATTTCAGAGGATTTCACGTCCGTGAATTGAAGCTCTGCCTTTTCTTACAGTCCATGTATTTTCCTTCCTGATAAAAACTGCTTCCAGTATGAAGAGCCTTTTACTAAAACGATGAAGCTGGGCGTGCCCGCCTTCACAAAATACCTGTTGGCAAAACAGAAAAGATTCAATCAGGAAACCAACATGAAGGAAAGTTACAACAAGGAACGCTGTAAAACAACGGTACAAATTAATTCTCTAACAGTTAATAACCCCTCAGGTATACATTTAAATTTGACATAAGGAAGGAAGTCACAGCAGCACCTAATGAAAGGAGCATTATAAAGAGAACTTGTCTTGAAGAGTGCTCTTAGTGACCATCGTGTAAATGAGACTGAAAGGACTCATCAGCAGAATAAATGAATAAATCTACCTTTTGTGTTGCAGTATTTTCAAAAGTGACATCTCTGGGTCGACTCTGTAAAGTGTCTCCTTCTCCTCGTCCTCAAAGTAAAGCTGTAAAAGACAACATCAGTTATTTGTGGGAAAATTTTGATGACTGAAGCCAAACACATTTCCCCATTTTCAATCTGAAACAGCCAACCAGTTTTCACTCGGCTCCATCTGGAGCCACTAAAAGGCTTTGATCATTGCTTTAATTTATCTCTGTTCTCATAAAATAACACCCCCACCTCCCCACCTGTAAGCCCAGCATACAGACCTGCAGATTTTGTGGGAGGTATTTTCTGTCCGCGTCCCAGGGGGGAAGTTCTTCAAACATGACTGCCAGGTGGTCTGTGAAGCTGAGAGATGCAGGAGTGACTATTCTCCACACTTTACTGCTTCAATTTCCTGTCCTACATAAAAGTGTCATTCTTTAAAAACCTTTTAAAAATATTTTGTGTCCCTTTTGCTCAACAGTGACTCCTGGTGGTCACAGTTGGCATTTACATTACACAAACTGGCTATCGTCGTTTATGCTGCTCTAATAAAAGTTACATCTCATGTCTTACTTTAGTCAAAAGATATCTGAAACAGGTCACAGATCAAAGAGTGGAGGAATGTGTAATCAAAACGATCATTAGTGATATTTGTATATAAATTTAGCACAATCTTGGTCACTGAGGGCAGGAGTCGTTTACCAGCTGTTTTCACAGAAAGCCGAGATGAAGTCACTCTGCTGATGTTCGGGGTAGAGAAAGAGAACGGGCCACTGCAGAGAGCCCTGCTCATCTACGAAGACCTGAGCCCCGGTGACCTCCTGAGAGCTGAGGCCATCCAGGCTGAGCTCCGCTATCGCCACAGGAGAGCGTTCGTCCTCATCTTCACTGTCGGAACCGCTCCGATGAGCCCTCGCAGGCTGCACGAGTTTGATGCCTCGATCCTGTGTATAGACGCCAAAATCATAACTGATATAATTTCGTTCTCTGTGTTCATTTTTCACTTAGATAGTGAAGGCAGTTTAAGATGCATCTTCTAATATGTAGGGTCAGCCTCTTGACTTAAGCCCCTTGCAGAATCGGATGGTTTGTGGCGGTTGCCCTGGCCCAGGGTGAAGACGAGACCTGCGCTGGTAACGCATCATCCAGTGACGGGCCCATTAACTACGAGCCTGTGGCTGGGCTTGGACTTGATAGCGAGGCGCCTCCAGCAGGGCTGTGGCAGCATCTGGACTTGTGGTTTCTAACTATAAATCTGCAGCAGCGGCCGGGACAGGTAGCTGCCAGTTATTGTCAAATACAAATATGTGTGTGCGACGTTAGATGCTCCATCTCTAATGCTTACCTTTATGGCATTCAGAAGAGCTTCTTTCTCACCATGCAACTTCTTTTCTTTAGCCTTGGCCTTCCTGGCATCTCTCTCTGCTGCTCTCTTCGATACCAAAAACAAATCAAGGTTTATTTCAGCGCTTTAAAGCTTTCGCCACTTCTAAAAATAATATATAAAAAGACAAGGATCATCTAAAGTGCAGTTACTTTGTGCTTATCTGCCGCTGCTCTCAGCTCCCGCAGCTTTTTGTCAGTAGGATGAACCTTGAGCCCCTCCTCACACCACTGGATGGCCTCTGAAAAGTGGCGCAGCTCTATACAACACTGAGCGCCTGCAGAAGCACAAACATGGGATTCATTTGCTTTCTAAGAGCTATAACAGACAGAAATCTGGAGCTTCTAAACTGAAACCAGCACTAGATTTCCATGCTTAGTAACACAATGTCATCATATCATAGCAGTACATGTTAAAAACATTACCCACCTCTGATCAAGGCTTTCAGGTGGTCTGGCTTGAGCTTCTTTGCAGCTGCAGCATCGTTCAAAGCAGAGCGCATATTTCCTGAAAAACCCAGACATATTTTTTTAAACAATGTTATCTTTTGTGAGAGCAAAAGGACATTTGGATGCTTTTTTTTTTTACCGAGGTAAAAGTGTGATGCTGCACGGTTGGTGAGGAGGACAGCATTGAGGTCCTGGTCTGCACATTTCTTCTTCAAACCCGCTGTGTAGGCCACCACCGCTTTTTGGTAGTTCTTCTCTTTGAAATAGGCATTGCCTTCATCTTTCAGGCTTTTTGCTTGTTCTGGAAAAGAACATGTTTCTCACATTTATTCAACTGTTTTCAGGAATACATACCGAGCAGCTTCAAAGCCTTGGAGGAGAGAAAGCTGTGGTTCGCACACCTTCAGGAGGCCGGTCTTCGTCGTGGATAATGGACTGGAGGCAGGCTAGTTCTGGGTATTTCTGTGCGTCGATCTCTTCGGGGGCGTCTTTCATGAACATGGGTATTTTATTAAACTCCTGCGTGAGACAGCAGTACATTTTGGTATTACCTGATACAAGTAAAGCCAAGGCCGGTAATACCGATACCAATATGGACACTTTAATACTTTTAACCTCTGAAGGCAGCATACAGAGTCTAAATGTGTCTGTGAGCTATAAATAAAATAGATGTGACAGTCAACACAGAAAGGTTCAAACACAATTCATTGGGCTACAAACTGAACGTGGAAAACAGAAGCAAAGTATCGATTCTATCGCGCTAGTATCGATCCGATACCAGCACTGGTACTGATGCTATTTTTCGATATCCTCACGAGATACTGAGCATGTTAGCATCTTGTTGCTAACCACCAACATAAGAACAAAGACGTGCTAACACATTTTATTCAGGTCCAAGTGGCTTTCTATCTTGTGCACACAGTCTCCGCAAGCCAACCTTACCTCCTCCCAGTCGTTTTCACTGAAGGCATTTTTATACCGCTGGGTCTTGAATTTGTCCATGAACGCGTCCATGCCATCGTCGCTGTCACTGTGTACCGAGGACGCCATTTTGGATCAAAATGTACTTTAAAGAGCTGGTTCTTGTTTTTAAATCTTATATTAACGCTGACAGCAGTCTGTCCAGCTAACCGTTCCCCAAGTTGCCTTGTTTACACATGTGTAACAGCGGTGCCACATGCGAAAAAATCCGTGTGGAAACTCACTTCCGGCAGAGCGTTCCACTCCTCGCGGTACGGCACAAGTAATGCTCTCAAAGCACCGTTACACTTATTATTATTAAAATAGGTGGCAGTTTCTTTTCTAATTATCCCGTTAATCATTTCAGCCTTACTTGTGCGCACCATGGAAAGCAACGCTAACACTGCCCCCACTGTAGCCTAACTCTTGGCTTTCTGTCCACATTTTGAGGTCCTTGCTTTACAACATGCACTGGGATAACTATTTTTGTGCTAAAAAAAATAAACTTGCATTTATTTTATTTTTTCAAGGACTCACTCCCAATCTGGTGTGAGATCAGTGTTATATTACATTCATGTTGTGACAAATTCTCATGTACTTCATGCTGTATACTGGCCTACTTACAAGGGATATCTGCATTGTAGGATACCACTCTAAATACTAAACAATGGGAATATTTCTACCAACTTTGCTTTTCTTTGCTGTCTCACTTTTTTTGCGACATTCATAATTTGGTTGTAACCAGCACTGATTTGTCCAGGTGCAGATTAAGTTTTTATTAGGATTATTACACGACTTACTGTAAAAAAAAAATTAAGCTGTATACTTCATTACATTGTAGTGTACAATGCAGGTCAGGTACATCACAGAGCTATTGTTTAAAAATTGTTTATTGAATGTGTAAATCACAGGCTTTGGAAAACATGGAATAATCCATGCCCACCACCTCACACAAACTGAAACATTTATTCTAACATTCATACTTGTTACTCATACAGTTTCCACTCTTCCCAGTAGATCTAACAGTCCATCTCTACTGAGGAAGACAGTCTCACCAGTCTGCTGACAGATCACCTCAAACCTGGGTGTTTCCTCCAGAGCTCCCTGTCCTACTACAATAACATATGGATAACCCAGTTTGCTGGCATCCTTCAGCCTCTTCCCGATTGTCATCTGTGTGCGGTCATCCAAAACAACTTCACCTCTCAGGTGAGGCAGAGTTTCTCCCAAAGCTTGGACCAGTTCCTCAGCTAGGAGCGTTGCCTCGTCCACCTTACTGCCCTTCTTAGGGGGTAAAACGCAAACCTGATAAGGAGCGATAAGCCCCGGCCAGCGGATCCCCTCTTCTGTTGACATCACCTCGACTGCTGCCGCCAGAATTCGCGTAACCCCGAGGCCGTAGCAGCCCATCTCAGCGACAACCGGCTTATTCTGGGCATTGCTGAAGGTGGCTTTGAATATGTGAGAGTACTTCTTACCCAAGTAAAACGTGTGGCCTACTTCTATACCCTTTGACTCTACCAGTTTCCCAGTTTCACACTGTGGACAGTTGGAGTCGTCTGATGACATGGTCTCCACGTTGGCGGAGAAGGAGCAGCTCCCACAGACCAGAAGCCGATCCTCGCCGATGTCCGCCGGCAGCTGGAACTCATGGGACAGTTCACCGCCGATGTTTCCAGTGTCCGCCTGCACCTGAACGCAACGCAGACCCAACCTGGCGAAGAGCCGAGTATACGCTTGGCACACAGACTCGTACGTCTGATGAGCGGCTTCTTCGCTCACGTCAAAGGAGTACATGTCCTTCATGTAAAACTCCCTCCCTCGGAGAAGGCCAAACTTCGGCTTTGGCTCGTCTCTGAATTTGCGGGTGATCTGTTTTTTGGGGGGTTTTCAAAATAAATCATGTCAGAAAAAACAAACAAACTGCAGCTCGTTACAGGAAAGACAGTGGCAGTAAGAACAGGCTGAATGCTTACTTGGTAAAGAAGCAGTGGGAGCTGTCTGTAGGAGAGAGTCGCCTGGTGAGCGACGAGAGTCGTCACTGCCTCCTCGTGAGTGGGACCCAGGCAGTAGTCGGCGCCGTGCCGGTCTTTCAGGCGGAACAGCTCCTTTCCCATCAAATCCCAGCGCTCGCTGGTTTTCCAGAGGTCGGCCGAGCACAAACTGGGCATGTCCAGCTTCTGCCCACCAATCGCCTGCATCTCCTGGTCGATCACTCTCACCTGTTGATCAAAGACAGCAGTGCAAATCAGGAGGTTGGAAGATAAACATCAGCAGTCACGCAGAAATTGATAGGAAACTAGAAAAAAGGCATTTCTGTACTCTTTTCCCTTTAGTCAAGAGCAACTGTTTAACTTTATCATTTTAGCCCCAAGGCTCGCAAAATTTCAAAATCTCTGGTAGCCCTTCAGGCAGGCATTCTTCAGTTTTTGGTAGCCCAAAATAAATTTAAGTAGCCCGAATAAAAAAAGAGAGCAATTTTTTTATGTTTTGTTTCCTTTACAATATTATACATTAAAGTATAATATTGTAACGGAAACAAAAATTAATCAAAAAAATTGTTAAAA